TGAATCATCATAGAAGAACACAAAACGTGTCTCCTAACAGTAAGTAATGTCTCACTTCTTCTATATTGCATTTAATTTACAGAGCCCCAGTCAAGGCTGAGCTGTTCTGTATGCTATTAATTAGCTGATCACATGCCAATGCTAATTTTTTTCAAATGGGTTCACTATTTATAAATGTTCACCAGTTTGTGCCGACACATGAGGGGAGGAGGGACGTATTTACACCATCTACTCCTTGCAGATGCTTTGCAGTTCTGCCTTGGAGGGATTGACCTCTCTCATCTATCAAAGATGCAACTTTGGCTCCTAAAGCTGTTTGTATGGTATTCATCTCTGTATTATGCCTGAACTGGAGTTGAGTTTAAGACTCACAACCCTCTTTTCCTCAGACTTCAGCCATCTGATGAGTACAATCACCCTTGTTTGCACAGTGGGCCAAATTAGCTGCATGCCATTGTTACTGCTCCTTAAGCATGGAGAGGTTTTTTTTTTTTTAATTTATAAGAAATTCTGGAATATAATGGAATAGTTTCAGATGGATGGGGCTTACAGTGATCATTTAGTCCTACTTCACCATTTCAGGCCTGACCAAAACTCCCAGCACTTAATTAAGGGCATTATACAAGTGCCTATTAAATACTGACAGCCTTGGGACAATGATCACCTCTCCAGGAAGCCTGAATATAAATTTTAGGGCAAATAAATTTCATGCTAAAAAATTACTATGTTTTTAGGCTTCGTGAATATAAAATGGGATGCTCAGTGGCTTCCTAAGTAACACCACACATTTTTCTTATGTATTTCACAGAGCAAGCAAGCTACCTTTGGTACTATTAAACCAACTCTGCTAGTTGTTGAATTGAGTTTTTGTGTTGGTCCAACCTCAGCCCTAAATAAACATTTGTAACCTCACATAGCTGGGCACAATACAAGTCACCCTGGCTGAGAGACCTTTGCTCATGGAAAAGCAGCATTTGATGTTCAAAAGACAGAGTGGAGCCAGCATGTTGAAGCATCTAGTCACTATCCAAACAGCGCCCATTGTTACAGTTATTGCCAGCAATATCCTGTTTGTCACCGGGATAGCACTTTGGGGAGCCTGCCCTAGAAACACCCATTTGCCTTGTGGCTAAACCCTTCCAGCGCAGGATTTGGAAATTCACCAAAGCAAGGAAACCTACTCAGGGCTCTGGCCTCCAGCAAAACCTCTTCAAAATGCCTTGAGAAATACCCAGACTCATAAAATTCCATGCATCCAATGAAAGAAACCATTTTCATATCCAAGGAACAAATTTACCCTCCCCATCTGCTGGCATTGCTCTGATCCTACTCTACACTCGTCACATCCCAACACTGGCAACAGGCCTTGAAGAAATTCGGTTTTGTGGACTGTGGGTGAAATCCGAGGCAGGATATTACTAGTGTGGAGCTAATAACCAGTCAGGACTTTTGTACAGTGCAGCTGCACACGTGGTGAGCCACCAAGAGCTTTTTGTGCCAGCCACTGCTGTGTCCGAGCTGTAAATGCTGTGTGAGTTATCTGCAGGAATACCTGCTCCTTCCCTGTGTGAGTTACCTGCAGGAATATCTGCTCCTTCCCTGGGTGAGTTACCTGCAGGAATACCTGCTCCTTCCCTGGGTGAGTTACCTGCAGGAATATCTGCTCCTCTCTGTGTGATTTATCTGCTCCTTCCCTGGGTGAGTTACCTGCAGGAATACCTGCTCCTTCCCTGGGTGAGTTATCTGCAGGAATACCTGCTCCTTCCCTGGGTGAGTTTTCTGCTCCTTGCCTGGGTGACACTCAGCTCCTGCCTTTGATTTTCCTAGAGGCAGGTTGGCCCCAACTTTTATAAAGTGGTTTCAAGCTCTTTCATGTGAAAGGCACAGAATAAGCACCGTGCAGATCTAACAGTGCAGGAACTCAGCTGTTTCTTCCTCTGACCACTCCTGTTGCTCCCTCCACCTGCTTCAGCTGCAGGAGCTGAGGAGATGAGAGGCAGCAGGGCAAGTGCACAGAGCTGGTGCCTCAGGGCCATGAACAGTTAAGGCCTTGGCCACGGCACTGGTGCAGCTGGAGCTTTTCCCAAAGCTGGGCTGGAGAGCATCACTGTCTCCCCCGAGCTGCTGGAGTCGTGGCAGTGAGAAGCTGCTCTGAGATCACCACTGGAATCCTTGGGTTTTCATGCTTCCCCTCCCCACCCCCTACATTTTCCATTAGGAAGAAGTAAATTGGTAAATGCCCCAGGAGTCACAACCAGGCTGTGACCTGGTGAGGAAAGAGGAAGCCCTTGCTAACACACCAGTGCTGGTAATAATGCCTGGGTGGAAAACCTTCCATGGAAAGTGATACTTTGCAAAAATCTGCAGAAATTAATTGCTTGTGAGCATTTCCAGCACAGAAATGAACCATTGAATCTGATGTTTTCAGCTTGTTTGGGAAAACTGAAACAGTTGGTTTCAGCAGTGGCAAGGACAGGGGTAGATAAGCCATTTTCCTGGGGAAAATTCAAATGTGATTTTCCAGAGCCTCCTACACCCTTCAGGCTCTGTCCACGTGTGCAGCTGTCCCATGTGCTGCGCTGCCTGTGCTGCCACCATGCCCATGGTACCTCTGTGACCATGGTACCTCTGTCCCACCTCTCCTCTTCGCCATGGGCTGCTATGCAGATGGATGTGGAAAATCCAATGAAAGATCCTAATAACTGTAAGCTCAGGGGCAAGGTTGCTCCAAGTGAGTTCTTTGCTCAGTCAATATTCACAGTATTTTAAATAGGCTGTGGTATACTTTATGCCATGTAATATTTTTATGAGTGGGATTTTTTCCAGCACTCTGCTCTAGAAGTAATTCCTGCTGCTCGACTCTGTGTGCAGTTTTGTAGTGAAATCAGTTTAATAAATGATGGGATTCCTCAAAAAACTGAAATTCCATTTGTGATCAATGCTAGTTTTGACCATTGTCACTGGACAGGGATTATCTCAGAACAGCATGTTAATAAACAGAGCTATTTTTCCCCCTTATCTTTATGAGTTTTGTCACTGAAAATATTTTTTTATTTATGTGCTATAGTAGTTAAGAAAGCAGATAAAAATAGCTGGAGATACTTTAGAGGGTAAGTCTCCAAACCCTGAAAATGAGGCTTGATTTAAAAGTGCCTTCACACTCCTTTTACCCCAAAGAGATCAGGATTATGCTACTTCATCTTCCCATTCTTCCCTCAGCCCTCGTATCCCTCAGTACCTTTTGAGCCCAGTGGCAATTTGGCAATTTCCAACACTTCTGACAGAGGAAAAGGAATCAAAGCACGTCCCTGAGAGTCACCTGTGGCTGGTTAGGGAGGAGAAACTCAGAGTGGTGCCCCCACAAGTGCCAGCCTGCCTGGCTGGCATCACTGCCCCTGTGATGCACTCTTCTGTGCCCCCAGGCTCACACCAAAACCACCAAGACTGATGCTCACATGGTCTGGCACCAGCTATTGGATGGCTTTTCCTATAGGCAGAGGTGTTTGCAGGGTATGGAGGAGAGAGGGAGAAGGGCAGTGGGTGCTGGGATCAGCATTTTTTAAGGGGTGAGCAGGTCTGAAGTTATCACAGGAAAGTTGGTGCTGTTGCAGTATAAGGCAGCCCTTAGGGATTTTGGCTCATGGAAGCACATATTTCCAACAGGCAATATGTTAAATTTAATAAATGTTGTATATCTTGTCTGTGGAAATGTTTTTTTCTAAAGGGATCACTCAATCTATGTGGTGGGAAGAGCAGAGAAAAGAGAGAGCCGCTTGCATTAGAAGTGACGCTGCCCACTCTTGTGGAGGAAAAGGTCTTCACATTTCCACGGATCAGAGTCTGCAATTACACAGCTCTCTTGTTTGGCCAGTTCATCTGCTCAACCTGACACAGAGCCAGAATGCAAACAGGGATTTTTCCCATTACAGAATACCAAATCTATGATAAGCCACGCCATGAAAATTCAGTTTTTAAGGAGGTGGGGAGAGAATGAGGGAAACTCCAACTGCTGCTGCAAGATAAGCAATGAGATTTGCAGTGCTTCTAGAATCTGTGTCTGGGATCTCATTAAAAAATCCTGTGAGCAAAAAGAGCAATGTGAGAAGAAAAACAGCAGAATTTGGGATAGTAAAATTTAAGCAGCTGTTTGAACACCAGTTTTAGCCTATGAAACATCTGTGTGATAACTTTGGACACAGCTGGACAAAGTCAGTAATTGCTACAGAAAGAGGCCTGTGAATATTGTGCTTAATCTGTGGGTCTGCTCTGCACAACAGTGCAGTGAATATCACTGGTGATCTTGATTATGTTTGTGGTTTTTTCTTATATTACAAATTCCCCTACTATGAAGGATTCAAATCAATCACCTCTTCTGCTTTTCACTACCATCAAGTTGTAGTATTAAAATCTATTTATAGATGGAGTAACAAACGTCACTGGAAGGAGAGTTATATACTGACAGCTTGGAAAGAGACTGTGCTGGTTTTCTCAAAGATCACTCCTTAAATAGGATGTATTCTCAAAGATTATTCCTTAAATAGGATATAAATATTGTAATTTATGCATCATTTGCCAAGAGGGACAAGATTGTGATAACATATATATATGTACATATATATTTAGAGAGAGAGTCTTCCTAACTGCAAACTGCAAAGCTCAGAACTTCAAAAACTAACTGAGAATACAAAGTGATAGAGGCTGAATTACATTTGTTGTCCCAAAACACAGTGGATTTAACTGTATCCCTAACGCTTCTTATTCGCCAAAAACAAGACAAAAATAAGAAGCAAACAAATAACTTCTCTGAATAAATCCTGCATTGTCCCAATTTTATGAGCTGCCATCTAAGCTGCCTGGCAACCATCCAGGCCTGAATGACATTCCTGGACAAGAAGTAACCCGTGCATCCCTTTTGAACTGTCCTCTCCTCGAGCTGCTTTTGCCTCCCACCTGGCTGTCCTGCAGCTCTCCATTATATTTCTTTTAAAGCACTTTCTTACCTGCATAGTGGTCAAACACAGTGGGGACATACTCCTCTGGGAAGGCATCATTGGCATAGCTCATCAGCAAACAGGTTTTCCCAACTGCACCATCCCCAACCACCACGCATTTCAGCATCTTCTTGGTGCTGCTCCTGCTCCCGTCAGTGCAGTTGTCATTTTCCTCCTTGCAGTTCATTCTTGCTGCTGCTGCCGCTGCTCTTGCTGCTCCCAGGACTTCCAAGTGCACATGAAGGAAAAATGAAGTGCGATTGTATTGACTTTTCCTGAGTTTGGAGAAGGAGGGGGGTGGGGATGGGGGGGGGGAGAGCAGCAAATCTCAAACTCAGGAAATCATACTAATGTTTCCAGGCTGTCACAGCCGCTTCTAACAGTTACCAGATCAGTCAAGAGGATCATCGAGGTGAATAAATTAAGCACACAGAGAGGAGTAGCATAAAAAAAAAAAAAAAGAAGAGTGATCTGTCCTTTTTCGTTTGTCCCAGTCAGGAAATCCTCATCCTGCCCGGCCGTTCCCAGTCTTTATTGTGACTTCAGAAAATATCGGCAGCCTGTGGCTTCGATCCGCGTCTCCCTTCCTCCAGCCCGGCCGCAGGAACCAGGGATTCCTTTAAATCCACTCCATTTTCCATCTCATTGCTACATGGAGGAGAGTCTGGAGGGTTTTAATGGAGTTTTTCCTTTCTTTCTCCAGCTTGCTGTGTGTCAGGAAATCATGGGTTTCCTGCTGAATTCCATATTAGGATCAGTGGGCTTGTGAAGGGCTGCAAACAATGGGAGCTCTGTGTGTATTTGTACTTTGGAGGAACTCTGCCAGGACATGGAGAAAGGAAAACACTAGAGGTCCCCCTGCAGAATGAAGTTTTTTAGGCTCTCTGCTCCATCCAGCTGCTCTCCAGGCTGCCGGCCCCGGCGAGGAGGATTTGGGAGAATTTGGAATATGGGAGTGCTGGAAATGCTGAGAGCTCTGCCCCTGTCCCAGGGATTCCTGCTGATCCCAGGCACGACCTCCTCTCATCTCAAATACGTATTTTCTCCCATTTGGGAAAGGGAAAGGGGGAGGTGGAGAAGCAGAGAGGAGATATAGTGGCTAGATAATGTCAACTTTCTGTCGCTATAGCTCTTTAAAGTGTTTGTTATAAAGAATAAATAACTGATTTTTCAGTTCATGCACTTACTTACTCTTGCCTTTTCCCTTGCCTTTTCCCTATCCTCCCTCCTCCAAAAAAGACAGATTTTCCCCTTCTAATGTAAAGATGTAAACACAGTCAGAGAGAATAAAGTGGAATTAAGAGTTAGAGGAATTAAGAAATTAAACAAACAAACCAACACCCCCCTGTACGGCAATCTGTGAAAAACCAGCTTTGAACTACAATTCCTGCCCCCTCCTCTGGTTTGTTCCGGTGCTTCACGTGCCTCCTAAGCCTTCTCCCCATTTAAATTCACAACAATCTACGTGTACATGAAGGGCAAAACTTCCCTCTCCATGCACAGGAAAGATTTTGCAATTTCCAGCAGAAACGAGCCAGACACTGACACAAACCCCAGCGCAGCAGCCCAGCACATCCTGCTGGCTGCATTTCCCCTGCACGAGGCTGGGAGGCTTTGAGAGGGGGAAACACCCCCCTGCTGGCACTCCACCGGTGATAAACACTGCCCCTGCCCTGCTCACACCTGGGGAGGGATCAAAAGGATGCACCAGTGCACACCTGGAAGTGTAAAGAGCCACACAGCCTTAGAAAGGAAATCTTATAGCCCCAAACTGAAGGAGTAAGGACAAACACAGCCATAATATTGGAAGTCTGTTGTTCCAAAATGTGTGCCCTTTAATTTTTTTTTTGTAGTGAAGAGGCACAGCAGACTCACCTACAACCTTCCCTAGACAGGCTAAGTCTGTCAGAGCTCTTCAATGATCTACTTCTGCCAGATCAGCTCTGGGCACCTACCCCAAGAGGTGGTAGAATTATAGAATCCTGTAATAATTTGGGTTAGATGGGACACCAGAGATCATCTAATCCTAATCCCCCTGCCATGGGACACCTTCCACTAGACCAGGCTGCTCCCAGCCCCATCCAACCTGGCCTTGAACACTTCAACGGATGGAGGATGGATAAACCATGTGAGCAAGGTTTGTCTGTTCACCTGGAGAGCCCCAGGCAGCTCTGTTTGCTGTCTCTAGGCAGGAGTCTTGGTCATTCAGTGATTTGTGCCTTCACCTCATCCATCCCCCCTCCCTGCTGATAACAGGGAGCTAAGCAGGCAGAGTTAGGCCCAGCATCACACCTGCCATCAGACACATCACTAAAATGTTTCCCAGATTAAGGAGATCAGGTGCATCATCCTAGTTTCAAACTGCAGCCCAAGGCTGAGCTTCATCCAAGAAAACCTGTGAGCTCTGGGCATCAGAACCCCCATTCCCCAAGCATTTGCTCTGCTGATCCCTCCTACCACCAGCAGCCTGGCTGGGCTATCCTGAGGTGCAGCACATTAGAGAGATTTATTCTCTGGGCTTATTTCTAGTTGTAATTAAGCTCAAACTCCAAGCCTGTGCTCTAAGGAGGCACCAGCACCCTGATCCCCTCTGTGCCTTTGCTTACTAGCCTGGTGGCCTGGTGGGGGAAGTTTGACAAATATGTAGGTGCATGCTGTTGCAAGGTAACTGCAGAGCCAGAGGAAGAAAAACGTTCCAACAATTCATGGTTCGGGTCCCCACTGCCTCTATCAGACAAAAGCAAAGGCTGTCTTGCTTTCCATTTTAATCTATCTGCAAGATTTTTTCAACATCAGACATACTCCAGTTAAGGCAAGATTTAGTGCTAATTGGGCCAGATTTAGGCCTGCAACAAAATCCCCATGGCTTATTCCTCCCTGATCATAAAGCTGGGCAAGTCCCAGCAGGACTGTGCCCACATCCCTTTCTTTTGCAAGAGGTTGAAGGATGAAATTTCCTTGCTGTTTTTCCTAGAGGATTAAAGTGATTTTATTCTATCTTCCCCTTTAAAAAAAAAGATATTCCAAAATTTAAAGCTCTTCTCGTGCTATTAAGGGGCAGAACTGGATGATCGTAGAAGCAGAGAACCCCAAAATCATTAAAGTTGGAAAAAATGTCCAAGGTCATCGAGTTCAACCTTTGCTCCATTATCACACATCAGCTAAATCACAGCACTGAGAGCCACATCCAATAATTTCTTGGACACTTCCATGGGTGGTGACTCCACCACCTCCCTGGGCCACCCATTCCAATGCTGGACCATCCTTTCAAGGGAGTTCTTCCTGAACTCCTTAGGTCTTTGCAGACCCTTCCAATTCCAAGCTCTGATGGGACATTTTGTGGGGGACCAGTTTTAGTTAAAAATGTTTTAATAAAAGGTTTTATATCTGTCAATGAGGATAATAGAAGGCCAGAGCCTAAATAAAGGATGGCCCGGAATAAACCGACAGGAGGAGTTTACATTGAAGGTGAAGGAAGGCTGACATCTGACCTGCCAAACTCAAACTCAGTGCTACCAGTTTGCTTTCCCTATAAAAGTGATATGCGCAGCTTTAGAGGAGTTATGATGAAGTTATAAAATAAGAATTGAATCCAGACTAAAAACACATGTTCTTTTAATCTCAAGACTTTAACTCAGTTTGGCACCATTTAGATCAGCTGGATCAAAACATTTTAAGAGCTGGTTTAGCTTCAGCAAAGTTTGATCACGTTGTTCTACACCACTTTACTCAGGGGACTGAGAGAGTGCTTACCCCTCTGCTGCTCTGGGGTTGTTGTTTTTTACTTATCTTGGCTGTGTGAATTAACAGCCCAGACCTGTCATCCAGCAGTCTGGTAAAGTTTGAGGCAATCCTGTTGCACTTTACAGAAGATTTGTTAACCTGCAAATGGCAAGTGACAATTCTATAGGTTAAGCTGACCCTTCTGCACTGCTGCGCAAGTTTCAGCTCCCCCAAGAGCCCTTCTGAACAAGGGAGCTGCCTTCAAGCCTCAGCCTGGAAGCCACGGGGTTATTGGTAATCATTAGCAAATGTCAGAGAGTTCTAATGATTTATTCTACATCCAGGGCTTTTTTTTTTTTTTTTTTGCTTTTTCACTAATCAGATTAGAATTGGTCAGATTTTTTTCACAATATTTCAGTCATTACCATCTCACAAACCCAATAAGAGCAGGCTGGTTACAAGCTACAGCTTGGGAAGACGTGTCTGAAGCAAAAATAAAAAAAGAAAGTAAAGCCAACGAGTCTGAATGCTTGGAAATCTTGTTTAAATGTGTGTTGTTCTCAGGTATCCAGTCTGTTTCCCGCTGATTTTACAAGTTTCTAGCCAAGGGCACTGCAGCTCAAGCAGATGTGGGCAGGTGCAGTGAAGATGAGCACCGTGGGGTGAAGATATCACCTGAGGCACTTCCTAGCCAAGTTTCTCAGGCAATCTCTGCTCTTGATGAAGTGCCTCTGACCTTTTGCTAATTAATGGATTTACTGGCAGCAGATCTATTCCTAAGGCTGCAGAGTATCTCCAACTCCCATGAGCTGTGGGGATGCATCACCTTCATCTTCATCAGCACGGGTCAGACAGGGGTGCCTGGCTCTGCTTCCTTGGGGAGTAGCAAGTTCAAGGCTGGTGCAAAAACTTTAGGTGAGAAGATCTGCAGGACACAAAGGACTTGCAAATTTCTAAATTAGCTCTGCAATTAGCAATATCTTGGCCAATTAACTTTATTCTGTATTTCTGTGCAGGCTCACAGGAGGAAAAAAGGGATATGAGGCTCTGTCGTGCTCTCCCTGCTCTCTTCCCCTGGCCAACCTGCCATCCCCACATTTCTCCAGTGCCTCCTGAAATGCAGTGGTCTAACTCTGTGCAATCTTATGAGTTTAAAACCTGACAGTCAGAGCAATGTTCTGCATTAAGTGTTTTCCTCACCAGACCTGACTGATTTTAAGGGGTCTTAACTCTTTCTTATGTCTTGTTCCCCTAAATCCTCTCCTGCCCTAAACCAAGCAGATCTGTTTCCACATTCTCATGCTTAAGAAGCTCTCCAGGGTGGGGGATTTTGAAGGTGACAACACTGCTGTGAAAGTTTTCTCCCCATGCCTTGCTGCTAGAAATAGACACATTCAGCCACTCTCCTTCCACCTACCAGTGTTGATGAGGAAATGAAGTTTCTGGCACTACTACTGAACTGTAAATTGGTTTCAGGCAAATCTTCTCACATTTTTCTTATCCTTTGTC